GGTCCTAAAGAATCTTAAATTATGAGTCTCATAAATAAAAATTCCCGAAGTAAAAAAAAAAAAAAAAAAAAAGTAATCCTCTATGAGTCTCATATAAATAAAAATTCCCGAAGTAAAAAAAAAAAAAAAAAAAAAAAGTAATCCTCAGAGAGATCCAACTAGAAAGTAAAATGCATGCCAGAAATAGAAATCAACAATATGTAAAGGAATAAAACAAAATCCAGCAACCAACAATGTAAATTCACAGTTGTCTGGCATCCAGTATAATTTTTTTTTTAAAGATTTTATTTATTGGGGATCCCCGGGTGGCTCAGCGGTTAAGTTAAGCGCCTGCCTTTGGCCCAGGGCGCGATCCTGGAGCTCCGGGATCGAGTCCCACGTTGGGCTCCCTCCATGGGGCCTGCTTCTCCCTCTGCCTTTGTCTCTGCCCCCCCCCCCTCTCTCTCTCTCTCTCTCTCTCTCTATATATATATATATATATATATATATATATATATAATAAATAAAATCTTTTTAAAAAAAGATTTTATTTATTTATTCATGAGAGGGGCAGAGATACAGGCAGAGGGAGAAGTAGGCTCCCTGCAGGGAGCCCAATGTGGGACTAGATCCCAGGACTCCACGATCACGCCCTTGGCCAGAGACAGAAGCTCAACCGCGGAGCCACCCAGGTGTCCCATCCAGTACAAAATTATCAGCTATTCAAAGAAGCAGGAAAATAAGGACAATTATCAAGAGAAAAATCAATTACTACAGACTCAGAAATGACAAACATGATGGAATTAGCATAGGACATAAAACAGCTATTTTAACTATGCTTCATATGTTCAAGGGAGAGAAAGGAGCATTATAAGGAGAGAATCAGAAGGTTTTAAAAAGATCCAGATGGAATTTCTAGAGACAAATTACAGTATCTGAAAAACTGAGAGCAGGTTATCCTGCAGAAGAAAAGATCAGTTGGCATGAAGATGTCTAATATGAGAAGAAAAAGATTGAAAAAAATGGACAGAGCATCAGTGGCCTGTGGGACTATAGCAAACAGACTATCATATGGGCAGATTGCATGTCAGGAGGAAAAGGGGAGGAGGATAAAAAAATTGACAAAACATGGCCAAAAAACTCTAAATTTTATGAGAACTATAAACGTTTTGATTGAAGACGCTCAATGAACCCCCAACAGAATAAACAAAGTTCAAAAGCACATAAAATAAAATATGGTTCAAGAATATATACATAGGGTAAAAACAAAGAAAGCAAACACAAATTAACCAAAATTCAGGTTAGTGGCCACCTCTGTGGAGGATGAGGAATGTGGTCAGAGGGGAGCACAAGGCTTCAAATGTATTAGTATGTGCTTTTTTTTTGAAGTGGCATAAAGGGTAAATACGTTACTACTTCAAACTGTATATGAGCCAAACTATTTTTTGCAAATGATGGACATTAGCAATAAAAAAAAAAAGAAAAAAGTAATGACTTCATCCATTCTGTCTGTGTCACTTAGACCCAAGCTATAAACCTGGGAGTTATCCTTGACCACTCCCTCACCAACCCAATCCAGCTATCAGCAGGGTTGATTTTATCTCTTAAATCTTTCTGCTGCTCTCTACCTACACTGCCACACCCCATCCAAGCCACCTTCCACTCTCACCTGGAGCACTCCGTGTCTCTGAAGCAGAAGAAACCTGTTTTTAAATGTGACTAATTCTCTCTTCAGCTTGAAGGTGTCAATCTTGCCGGCTTGCCCTCTGACACAGAGATAAGCAAATTGCCCAAGGCCACATGGCCAGGAAATGGCAGAGGCGGGATTCAAAATCTATTAGTCCTACATGGGAGCCCACAAGGTCTTACCCCACCCACTATCCTGCCTGGTGTTGAACAATACTGGGGAAGGCTTAGCCATGGCCTGCCATAAGGTAACCTCTCAAGGATAGACATTATCATGTGATCTCACTCATGTGGGTTTTAAGAAACAAAACAGAAGATCATGGGGGAAGACAGGAAAAAAATAAAACAAGATGAAATCAGAGAGGGAGACAACCGTAATAAGAGACCCTTAATCATAGGAAACAAACAAATCATAGAAAAAACAAAAACAAAGAGTCGCTGGAGGGGAAAAAGGTGGGGGATGGGGCAAGTGGGTGATGGCATTAAGAAGGGCACGTGATGTAATGAGCACTGGGTGTTATAAAGACTGATGAGTCACTGACCTCTACCTCTGAAACCAGAGGTAACATTATGTTAATTGAATTTAAAAATGAAACACACGCAAATATTTGTGACTTATATATACTTTGTTTGAATAAGCAATACACAAATATTTACGATTATATATAGTTTGTTTAAAATAAATATTAAACAATTTTTTAAACACAAAAAATATAATAAAGCATAGACCGACTTTTTCTCTTCAATAACTTCCTTAACCTTATCTGCCTAACTCCCATTAGTCCTCACCTCTGAGCTCAAACCTTATGTCCTGAGGAAATGCCTTCCTAACCCTTGTCCTATTACAGCAAGTCCCTGATATTTGTCCTCACTGCACTCTGCATATTTCTAGTGTCCTTCCTCCACTAGATTGTGATCCCCACAAGGGCAGGGGCCTGTGTTGCCCACCACTGTAAGGCATGCGGCACACCCCTTGCCCACTCTGGCTCCTCCCAGTTCCAGTCCTTGGTGAAAGTAATGAGTCACCAACAGACCTCTCTCTTATGTCCCAACAAGCAATCTGGCCTTCTGACCCTACCAGCAGGGATGTGTGTGAGCAGGTAGGGCAGGGGATGGAGACCAGTGCTGGCGCATCAAGCTTGAGATGTCCTGCTTCACAGGAGGGACCTAGTGCCCAGGTAGGAATGAAAGAGACCTTGGGCCACTCATTGGGTCACAATATAGTACCCCCTGCCCTTATTTATCATCTCAACTCCCCTCGGAGTTTAGGTGGGAAGGCACTTGAATGCCTGCCCAGGTACACTGGGGCCACTAGGGGAACAGACCAAGATGGCCATGCAGGAGAGGGTGAGGGTAGGGATGGGGGTGACAGGTGACAGGTCATCAAATCTGTGGGACTTTCACAATGCCCAGAATAAATGAGGCCCCCAGAAGTTTGGCTTCTCTTCTTGGCAACACTGAGTGCTTTCAGAATATTTGTCTGTGGTCTTAATGGACAGAACAAGGCATTGTTATGCTCTAAGTCCTTAGTGTCCAACACCGGATATGACCAAGGGTAGACTTCCAGGAAATGGAGGTCTGATTAACCCCCATGAGTCCTTCAGCTCTGACTCAAGCACCTCCTTGAGAAGTCTTTCTTCCCTGACACACCCTTCCATTGTCCCTGCCCCCCACCCCAGGAGTCCCCACAACTGTGATGCTTTTTGTAGTGGGCTCAAAGAACATTTGTCTAATGAATGGAAGCTTCCTGGTTGACTCTCTTCTGAGCAGTTGTGTTTACTCTGCAATCTGTCTGGAATTCTTTCCTCTTCATTCACTGGCTCAGTTTATCCCAACATTTAAGGGGTTACTAGATGTTACATATACTCACTTAGCTCAAGGGTGACCTCCCCCAGAAAACCTTTCTGACCTTCCCTTTAGGTGCTCCTCCTCTCCATGGCCACCACACCTAGGTGGACTTCTCAGCCCCTAGACCAAGATGATCCCTTAGCCACAGGAACTGGACCTGATTCATCTCTCTGTGGCCATCACCTGGCAGTGCTTGGTAACACCTGCAGAAGGTATCATTTCTAGAATAAATTCTGGTTGAGATCCCAGCTCTACCACCTGAGTTTAGGCAAGTTCCTTTCTATTACTTTGCTGGTCAGTGGAATGGCTGGCTGAGACAGAAGTACAGAAATGAGATTCAAAACTACCTGAGTACCCAGGATAGTCATCACGCTCTCGACCCTAGGGGAGGATCAGGGCAGAACAGGACCTTTAGTACCTGGTATTTGGTAGTACAGATACCTGGGCTCAGTTAAGGGAAGAGAGAAAGTTACAATAGGCTTTGTCCTTCTCTGCCCCAGTCTAATGTCCTCCACCCCCAAGTCACCTAGAAAACAGAGCCTACAACAAGAACTAAGTACTGAAGTTTTATTTGAGAGTTACAAACCCAGGGCACTGGGTGAGAAAAGGGAAGAAGGGCAGGGAAGAACTGGTGGTAATGCAAAGTGATAGCAGTTGGGTCCTGCTTCAGGACAAGCCTTGAAGAAACACAGTAGTTGTATCCAATGGCTACCTGGGTGATCTCCCCATTGGCGGAACTGTTTGGAGAAACAGTGCCTTGCAGTAATTGAGGAAAAGGAGGGAAGAAGGAATTTATCTCCCTGACTTTCTCCCATCTCCTATTAGTCAAACATTATCCCAGGAGCATTAACTCCCCCACACTTCTGGGTTGCTAATAGCAACTTGAGATGCCAGATTCCATGGCCGACAGACTTGGCATTCCATCCAAGTCTGGAAGATACAGGAGAGACAATCTCTAGGAATGTGACTGATGAGTGACAGAGAGAATCTGATTCAGTACATAAGATGTGTCCAAAACAGTCCAATACTTTTTCTCATTTACCAGACGAAGAAACATGGCATAGTTATTATCAAGGATCTTTCTCAAGGTCACATGGCTAATAATGGTAAATTCAGGATTTGAACAGTCTGGCTCTGGAAACTATATAGGTTGAAGATAAGGAAGTTGGATTTTATGTAGCAGGCAAAGGAGAGTCAATAAAGAGTTTCAAACTGGGGAGGGACACAAGACAAACTAAAGCTCCCAATCTCTACTTGCCTCCATTTTCCCATGTGGCTAAACTTGGCAAAAGTTGGCAGCCCCAGAGAGGCAAGGGGATGCAAGACAGTTTTGAGGAGGCTCTGACTGGGTCCAGAGCTCATGTAGGCTTTAACACCACCTCACAATCTTTCTCTGTCTTCACCTAAGCCTGCACCTACCGAAGACTAGCTGGTCAGAGGCAGGCAAGATCTGGGTAGAGAAGCCAAGATGCAAAGAGGAGATTGGCCTAAAGACCAGGAGCGGGAGGACCAGCCATCTGTCCATTGTTGTCCTGTGGGTCTGGGGGTCCTGGCACCCGTAGATGAGTCTTTTGGTGTTGCCGGAGATGGTCAGATCTCATGAATTGTCGGCCGCACTGATCACATCTATGTGGTCGATATCTGGTGTGTATCCGCATATGTCGTCCAAGCTCATCAGAACGGAAGAAAGACCATGTACAGCCTTCCCACATGCATTTATAGGGCCTCTCACCTGGGGGGTGGGAGACAAGGAACAGAAGAAATTAAGTAGAAGAATATGCCAGCAGGTGCATTGAAAGGGGTCTGACTCTATTAAAGAAGAGCAGTCAAGGTTGAGAAACCAAAAGAAAACCAAGGGAAAGTAGTGAGGAGGCAAAACAATCAGCAATCCCCATGATTTTGGCATGGTTGCACTAGATGGTGGGAAAGTAAATATTGGGGCCAATGTATCTTTACCCCAAGCTTGAAGGATGATAAACTAGTCCCAAGCCATTACAAACCCGTGGTCCAGCACAAATCTAAAACCCAGAAACTCCTCTACCCTACCCAATCCTATCCCACTTATCTTTGACACCGTATTCACCTGTGTGTTTGCGTTGGTGACTCATAAGGTGGGAGTACTTAGTATAAGCTTTTCCACAGCTCTCATATTGACAGCAGTAAGGCTTTGAAACAGGGAATCTTCTCCTGGAAGCCCTTTCCTGGGCCCTGGAGTACCGCTCTGCTTTCTGTGAAGCACGCATGGGCTGCTGGGGTAGGAAGGGGTCTTTCTGGGAGCCTGGCTGGCTGAGAAAGTCCTGGGATTCTAAAGCCAGAAATGATGGGGACCCAGCTGGGTTCATCCTAAAGTCAAGGGGGTTTTTAGGCGGCAGCATCTGACTCAAAGAAGGGAGCATTGCCTGGGCCTCAGTAGAAGGCACGGTGGGGGCCAATAACATTCTAGGTGTTAAAGAGTCTCTATTAGAAGGTACCATTGGGGGGCCAGAATAAGGCATTGTTGGCACATTGATGTGGGATGTCATTGAGATTCCACTGGGAGCTGAGACTGGCAGCCCACTGGGGGGCATCCTTAGATTCCTACCAAAGGTGATGTCCACCCCTGGAATACTGGGCTCTCCTAAGGGCATCATCTGGGGCCCCTTGAAAATCATCATTCCTGGCTGGGAGGGAGCCATTCCCTCACAGTAAATCATCTGGGAAGGAGTGTGAGTCACTTGGGGGCAGTAGCTCACACCATGCTCAGGCAGCGACATACTGAACTGCGGCCCCATTTCACTTGCATTCTGACTGGGTGCCTCAGCTAAGGCCAAGGGGACCCTCGCCAGCTCTGTGCACTGGTGGAAGTGTTGAATGCCTGGTGTGCCATCATTCCAAGAGGTGTGCACTCCAGTGTGTCTAGGAGATGGAGACATGTCCAAGACGAACACTGACTTCTCAGTATCCTTGAAGAGAGAGAGAGAGTCAGGTGAAATTCACCCTAGTTCAAATTCCAGTTCCACACGTCCCTCCTTCCCATCTCTAGACCCCACCCTAATCCAGCCTCCAATATATCTTCCCTGAATTATCCTGCCTCCGGGCCATTCAGTTCAGGCTTTCTAGGATGCAGGTCTGGTTGATAGGAGCATAATGGATGCCTAGATGTGACTCATGCCATGTTTCCTCCTTGCCATGTTTTTGTTTATTTCATAAAAAGCAACCAAGGGAGCAAATAAAATATTCGACAACCTTCACCTTCAGTAAAACTCTGAGAAAACCTTCAAAGATTATCTTTAACCATGAGGGTGAAAAGACATCCAAAATCAGCCTAAGTGCAGAAAGTCACAAAAGTAGGAAGGATCAAGGTTTCAAAGAGTTATGGCTCTGCAAATGTTTACTTACAGAGAGGGTCTCGGTTGAGTTGGAACTACTGTGGACGAGTCTGAGATCAAGTATTGGAGGAGGTGAGGAAGAGAGACAGACTTTTTTTTTTTAAATTTTTATTTATTTATGATAGTCACAGAGAGATAGAGAGAGAGAGGCAGAGACACAGGCAGAGGGAGAAGCAGGCTCCATGCACCGGGAGCCCGACGTGGGATTCGATCCCGGGTCTCCAGGATCGCGCCCTGGGCCAAAGGCAAGCGCCAAACCGCTGCGCCACCCAGGGATCCCCGAGAGACAGACTTTTAACAAGGGGGGTAGATTGGCTTGGAAGTCAGAGGCAGTGTTCCTGGATGACTAACTGGTGTGAAGCGAAGTGAGGAAAAGATTGGTAGTAGAACTTCTTGAAATAGGACAGGATCCAAGAATCATATTTTTTAAAGCTGTCCAGTACTGTAGCATCAGAGAGAGCTCTTGAGCTGAGAAACTGAGAAAGCGAACCCATAACCTCCCATCTGCTCCTCCGCTGTGACAGTTCAGAAAAGACCAATCCATTCAAATATGAAAACCAAAATGTAAGTAAAAAATACAGTATCCATGAAAGATACTATGACACCAAAACAGAAATTGAAGATTGCAATCTCAAAAAACAAAAACAACAACCACAACAAAAAAACCTCAGGGTTCCTGGGTGACTCGGTTAAGTGTCTACCTTCAGCTCAGGTCATGACCTTGGGATCCTGGGATCAAGCCCTGCATCAGGCTCCATGGAGCCTGCTTCTCCCTATCCCTCAGCCCCTCCCCACTGCTCATGCTCTCTTTCACATGTACTCTGTCTCAAATAAATAAAATCTTTAAAAAAAAATTTCACCAGTAAAAATGTTGCCACAGATCAAGGAAAAATGAGCAACATTCATACACACACACACACAAACACACAAAAAGAAAGCAAACTTAAAGCAATGTCAGCTTTTACACCAACTACAGAAATATCACAGAGCAGAAATAGAGGAAGTCAAAGAAGTTGCATCCAGATTACAGGCTACAGCTTATATTAGAGAGGAGGGAGGGAAGCATAAGGGGCCCTGAAAGAGCTTCTGTGGTGGTGGCAATGTTTCATAGATCTTCACTTTCTAGTAATTCATTAGGCTGTACATTTATATTCACTTCTCTGTTATTTTTCACTAAAATAGTTTCAAAATAATATTGTGAAAGATCATGATTTTTAGCAAGTGAAAAATTCTATCATAAAAATCAGAGTAAAAGTCAATAAAAGTAATGGTGAATTTAAATAGGAAACATTCTGTACATTTTCCCTAAGAGGGAATTTATAGCTGTAAATACTTATAATAAAAAAAAAAAATCTCAAATCCACAACTTAGCTTTGCACCTTAAGGAACTAGAAAAAGAAGAATGGCTGATCCCAAAGCTAGCAGAAGGAAGGAAATATTAGAAAAATATATCCATAAAACCAAAAGCTGGCTCTTTGGAGAGATTAACAGAATTGCCAAACCTTTAGCTAGATTGATCAAGAAAAATATGAAAGTGATGACATTTCTACCAATTTTACATAAATGAAAAAGATTGAGAGTACTATGAACAATTTCATGCCAATAATTTGGATAACCTAAATAAAATGGATAAATTCTTAAAAAGACAAAAGCCTACCAAAACTGAATCATGAATTAATAGAACTGTACAGACCCATAACTAGTAAAGAGACTGAATCAGTAATCAAAAGGCTCTAGGACAAAGAAAAACCCTGAACTTGATGGCTTAAGGGCTTAATTATAAACATTTAAAGAAGAATATCAATGCTTCTCAAATTCTTCCAAAATATTGAAGAGGAGGGTATACTTGCTAACTCACTCTAGCATTGCCTTGATACCAAACCCAAAGACACAAATAAAGCAAAGCGACCAACATCTTTCATGCATCTTTCACGATGCAAAAAAATACTAAAAAAAATAAAATAAAATAAAATCCAAATCCACCAGCATATTAAGCAGATTAAACAACATGACCAAGTGGGATTTATCCCAGGAATAAACAAGCCTGATTCAGCATCTGCAAATCAAAGTAAAATAAGGGGGTAAAAAAGCAGAAAAAAAAGCATTTGAAACAATCCAATATCCTTTCATGATTAAAAAAAATAAAAAAAAATAACTAAAAAAACAAAGAATAGAAAAAAACTTCCAAATTGATAAAGGGTATTTATGAAAAACCCATAGCTTACATCATACTCATGATGAAAGACTAAAGACTTTTCCTTTAAGATCAAGAAGACAGGGATGCCCACTTTTACCATTTTTATTCAACATTGTATTGAAAGTCTTAACCAGAGCAAGAATAAGAATAAGAAAATAGAAAATAAGAAAAAGTATAAAAAGTGTAAAAAGTACCTGTAGCAGGGGAAAAAGGTAAACTATGTTTCCAGATGATACAATCTTATATGTAGAAACCCTAAAGATTACACATACACAGACACATGTTAGAACTAATAAATTCAGAAAAAGTAGTAAGATTCACCTTATTTTTAAATAAAAACAATCCCATAGCATTTATTGTCCTCTGGTAATAACATAAAGGTAATCAAAACAATACAAATAAGGGTTTTAGAACTATATTCCCAACAAAGGACATCTAAAAAAACAAACTACACGGCCTTCTCAAGAATTTCTCACTTCATTGATCATTCTAGTTGGAGACACTTTGGAGCAGGGTAATATTATCTCCTTCTAGCATGATCCGACTCAGTTGTTTTCTTGACTTTGTTTTAGAATGAATCCCTTCGGCATCATCTAATACAAGGTTCATGTACTCATCAAAACCAATGATACAGCCCTCTATCTGCATGTTTACTCACTCATAAAGCCACACCTGAATCCGAGATCTATTTTGCAAGTATCTGAAGATGAGGTTGATGGGCTGAACTATCACCATCTGCACTTTTTGGCCCTGACCACAGAACACCATGGTGGAAGCTGACAAAGACTGCACCGTAAGATTGATTGATTGATTTTAAGATTTATTTTTTAAAAAGATTTTATTTGAGAGAGAGTGCACTTGTGTGAGCAGCAAGGAGAGGGAGAGAATCTCAAGCACTGAAGTAGAGCCCAACTCAGGGCTTCATCCCATGACCCTGAGATCATGACCTGAGCAGAAACCTAGAGGCAGATACTTAACCAACTGAGCCACTCCACTACCCTAAAAGTAGTAAGATTCAAATTCAAGAAATGAATACTTTTCCAAAAAAGACATCCAGAGTGCTAACAGACACATGAAAAGATGCTCAATATCACTCATCATCAGGGAAATACAAATCAAAACCATGATGAGATACCACCTCGCACCTGTCAGAATGGCTAAAATCTACCACAGAAGAAGCAGCAGGTGTTGGCGGGGATGTGGAGAAAGGGGAACCCTCTTGCACTGTTGGTGGGAATGCAAAATGGTGCAGCTACTCTGGAGAACAGTATGGAGTTTCCTTTTTTTTTTTTTCTGAGTTTCCTCAAAAAATTAAAAATAAAACTACTCTATGATCCAGCAATTGCACTACTAGGCATTTACCCAAGAATATAAAAATACAGATTTGAAGGGGTACATGCACCCTGATGTTTATAGCAGCATCATCAACAGTAGCCAAACTATAGAGAGAGTCCAAATGTCCATCGACTGATGAATAGATAAAGATGTGGTATATATATATATATATATATATATATATATATATATATATATATAGAATATTATTCGGGCATCAAAAAGAATGAAATCTTGGGGGTACCTGTGTGGTTCAGTCAGTTAAGTGAATGACTTAATTTTGGCTCAAGTCATGATCTAACAGTCATGAGATCAAGCCACACATTGGGCTGGGTGTGGAACCTGCTTAAGATTTTCTATTTCCCTCTCCTTCTCTTAAAAAAAAAAAAAAAATCTTGCCATTTGCAACGATGTGGATGGAGCTAGAGTGCACTATGTTAAGTGAAATTAGAGAAAGACAAATACCATATGATCTCACTCATAGGTGGAATTTAAGAAAGAAAACAGATGAACATATGGGAATGGGGTGGGGGAAGGAGAGAGGAAAACAAACCATAAGAGAATCTTAAGGATACAGAACAAACTTAAGGCTGATGGAGGGGAGGTGGGGGGGGGTTTGGGTTAGATGGGTGATGGGGATTAAGGAGGGCACTTGTGATGAGCACTGGGTGTTGCATGTAAGTGATGAATCACTGAATTATACTCCTGAAACCAATATCGCACTGTATGTTAACTAAAATTTAAATTAAAAAAAAAGATTCAAATCAGACACACAAAAATCAGTTGTTTCTATACATTGACAATGAGCTATATGTAAAGGAAATTAGAAAAACAATTCAATTTACAATAGCATCAAGAAGAAATACTTAGAAATAACCAAAGAGGTTAACTTAATCACCAAAAACTACAAAATATTACTGAAGGAAATTAAAGACATAATAAATGGAGAGACATTTTAACGTTCATGGATTGGAAGACTTTAATAGTTATGATGTCAATGCTATCCAAAGTGATCTACAAATTCCATACAACCCCTATCAATATACCTTTCCTGCAAGAATAGAGAAATTAGGGATGACTGGGTGGCTCAGCAATTGAGCATCTGCCTTAGGCCCAGGGCATGATCCTGGAGTCCCGGGATCAATTGGGCTCCCGGCATAAAGCCTGCCTCTCTCTGTGTCTCTCATGAATAAATAAATAAAATCTTAAAAAAAAAAAAGAAAAAAGAAAAGAAATCTACCCCCTAAAATTCATATGGAATTTCAAAGGTCACCAAAGAGCCAAAAACAATCTTGAAAAAGAACAAAATTGGAAAACTTACACTTCGTGATTCAAAATTTACAAAGCTAAATCATCAAAACAGTGTAATATTGGCATTAAGCATAAACCTATTCACCAACAGAAAGGAATAGAGCCCAGAGATAAACCCCCACACATACGGTCAAGTGATTTTCAACAAGGATGCCAAGATTGTTCAACAGGGGAAAGGTCAGCCTTTTCAATAAATCGTGCTGGTATAACTGGATATCCACATGCAAAAGAATGAAGGGCCCTCACTTAATATCACATACAAAAATTAATTCAAAATGGATCAATGACCTAAATATATGAGCTAAACTATAATACTCTTAGAAGAAAACAAGGGAAAAGCTTCAAGACATTGGATTTGGCAATGATTTCTCAGATATGACACCAAAGGCACAGGCAACAAAAGAAAAAAAGACAAAGTTGGGCTTCATCAAATTAAAATCTTCTGTGCATCAAAAGACACCATTAACAGAATATAAAGGCAACCCACAGGATGGGAGAAAACATTTGCAGATCACATATCTAATGGAAATACCCAGAAAATATAGAGAGCTCCTAAAACTTAACATAAACACAAACAACTTGATTCAAAAATGGGCAAGGGACTTTACTAGACTTTTCTCCAAAGATACACAAATGGCCAATAAGCAAATGAAAGATGCTCAACATAACTAATTAGGGAAATGCAAATCAAATCCACAATGTGATACCACTTCACATCCATTTAAAATGATTGTTATCAAAACAACAACAGAAACAACCAAAGGGTTGGCGAGATACAGAGAAATTGGAATCCTTGTACAATTCCACTTCTGGTATCTACCTATAGAACCGAAAGCAGGAGGGATCCCTGGGTGGCGCAGCGGTTTGGCGCCTGCCTTTGGCCCAGGGCACGATCCTGGAGACCCGGGATCTAATCCCACGTCGGGCTCCCAGTGCATGAAGCCTGCTTCTCCCTCTGCCTATGTCTCTGCCTCTTTCTCTTTCTCTCTCTGTGTGACTATCCCTTCTCCCTGGGAGAGCCTCTACAGTTTCCCCTTACTTGCACTTACTAGGCAATCTTTCTCTTGCTAATGATCCATTTCAGTTTATATTCCACCTTTTCTTAAACCAGTAGCTCCAGGGTAGACTTCTGAATCTTCCAGCTGCCTACTGCTCAGTCCATTTGGATAGCCCAAAGGCACTTCAACGGATTGTATCTAAAAGTCCTGCTCATCCTTACTCGCCCACCCACAGGAGTAAAAAACAAGCCTGTTCCTTGTCATCCTTTGCTGTCTCACAAAATGTCACTCTTCTTGCCCAATTGTGCAAGCCAGAAATCTGGGAAGGTGTCCTGGCTGGCTCTCACCGCCTACTTGTAGGTTAATTACCCATTCTTGTGGTGTCTACCTCCAAAACACATCCAAGATCACCAGTTGGTGGTCACCATGCTCACCTCCCTAGTTAGGCTGCTGTCTTAGTTCTCACCAAATGAGACCCCAATACCTTCCCAACAAATCGCCTTGATTACTGCTCACTTCTATCAGGGCACTCTTGACTCAAAGCAAATCTAATCATAACTGGTGGCGTTTAAATTCCTCAGTGGCTTCCTACTGGAGCCAGGAAATCCCTGCCTCCCTCCCCTGGGGCCACTCACTCTCCCATCAGGCTCTTGGCCTTGGTTCTAGGTCCATCTTTCGCTTCCTTCAAGGGAGATGCTTACTGTGTCCGGCCTCAGGTCCTGCAAACCGTTCACCCAGCCAGTTCTCAAGTCCCTCGACACGGCGTTACCTGGGCCCTTTTTACCCCCAGAGCCCAGCACAGGTTCTCAGGCTCAGTGAATATTCATTGCATAAACGACACCTGATTTATGTCCTCGATTTGCCACCCCTCCCCTTCCCAACCCTGTCCCTCACACTTCTGAAACCCGCATTTCTGCTTCCCTCTGCCAGCCTGCACCCACCCCGCCCCGAGCCCCCCACGCCCGGCCCAAGGGCTGACTTCTGGACTCACCTGCACCAGCTGGGGCTGCCCCTGCTGCCCCTGGCTGAGCCTCCGGGCCTCCTGCTCCATCTCAGCCTGGGATAGGCTGCACATCGGGACCGCGTGGGGGTCCAGGCCCACACCGGAGCACAGCTGAGCCGCTGGGCGTCGCAGGTCGCGAGTCCTGACACCACCACGCCGCAGTCACAATTGCCTCGCTCACCTTCTACTTCCCACCCTGCAGGGGGCGGAGCCAAGGGCCGCACCCACCGCCCCGCCCACAGCAGCGGCCCCGCCCGCCCCCCCCCCCCCCCCCCGCCCCCGGGTCCTGCCCAGCCACCGCAGGGTCACTAACAGGGGGCCTCAGACCTTCAGCACATCTTGGGTCTTACATCTGCTCCCCCCCCCCATGAGGCCATCCACCCTTCAGTCAGAGCATCTCTGTTTGGCCCAGATAGGGGTAAGGACACCGGGGTTTCGGACCCCAGGCCTTGTAGACCTCAGGGTGGAAAATCCAGGGCAGGAGGCCCCAGGCAGCCACAGACAAGGGGGTAGGTGACAAAAGAGCCTCCACCGCCACCCCACCAGGTCAGGGTCCTTTGCCATGAGCTCCCAGAGGCCTGGATCTTCTCTGCTATAAACCAGGTACCTCTGCCCCGTGTTCGAACCGGATACTTGGGAGCTCCGTGGCACGGGCCTTTATTCCAGGATACTCACTGAGTACCTCCTGGGTGTCTGCACTGCTTTTTGGAACTAGGGATTCAATGGCAAACAGGACAGAACTAAGGGTCTTCGCTCTCAAGGAATTTTCATCCAAAATAGGCAAGTGGATATAATCAAGTCAAGTTAATATAATTTTCTTTGGTGTGAGTGCCACAGAGAA